GTAGAAGCATTCACCTTTCACCGCCGTGTTGTGCTACCGTATTCCGAACAAAAATCCGTATTCGCATGATGACTTGTCCCAATACGGAAACCACAGCCAGCCACAGTTCCGATGTGCCACGTTTGTTGCCCGATTTAGAACACCTGTTTCTGAAGGTGCCCAATACCACGATCCGGTTCGCTCCTAGTTATCTCAAGAAACTACGACTATGGAATCACATGCAGGCTAGTCGGGGTGGCCTGACGTCTGCGTCTAGGACGAGTCGTAGTTCCCTCAGACATGGAGCAAATTTCGACTTCGTCTTGTCGTATTATCATATATAACATGTGTCGGTATTTGCAAGGCTTTCTAAGAGTCATGGCCTTGCATATACGACGGCAGCGAGGGGCAGCCATCCAGATAAACCCCAATTGTATGGAATGTCTCGTTTACGCAAGCCCTTCGGTAGCTAGCCAACCCCACTCCTTTCCGTTATCCTTTCCTGGATAGAAAATATAGGCAGAAAATAAACGGCACGAAACACCCAATAGGACTTGCCGAAGTGAGGCTGAAAATATGTGCAAGGCGGCAAGACCCGTGCGGGGTCGTCGATCAAACGCCATGAATATTGATAGCTGAAGCCTACCATGACTACCCTGCATGTGCCGTTACGGAATGGGAGATCAACGCTGGCGCAACAGCTGAAGGTACACCAGTCCCTTTCTAGGCACCGTTTAAGCCACGGTTAACTTGTAATATTAACACGACTTACTTGTTTAAAAAAAATTAATATCAAGTTATTGTTAGCTTTTTATAATACAAATAATAATACAAGTATTATTTTTACGAGCGGCTTCCATCCTCCATGTCGACTCCGGGACAGTCCTCCATCCAGTAGAGGCCATGGTTGTGCGGACTACCACGCCGATGCCATTCATATCTATCCCAGTAATCTGTCATGTTGAACCTCTTACTTAGCACGATATCCCGTAAGAACTATTATCGGCGGTAGAAGTGGAAAGCAGCAATGTGAGCTTCTGGCTCCCGTAGACGAGGCTGGTTTTAACGCGACGTCACAACCTGTACTGCCAAAAGCCGGAGCAATCTCTGGTGGTGTAAGTTGTCATCTTTCTTTATTTGCTCTTGCAATCATCACACATGTCTGATCTGCAGAATCTACCGCTAAAACGAATGAGTGTTACGGCCCAGCCTCAACCTAGAAAAGCACATGTATGTCGCAGAATGGGCCGACGACACGTCCCAGGGAAGTGGGTCCAAACGAATCATTGACAGGAATCACAGGATCATCACAAGTTCACAACGATCTCGAGCGCACTCATTGGACTCTTGGCTCTGATCATTTGGTTATTACCTATCACCAAACCGAACACCCGACCGCTCAGATGAATTGCCCTGCTTGCTATGCCAACATGAACCCTCACTGGTTTATCCCTAGGAAGCCCGAGCCGTCACAGTTGCCTCACGTATGTTCCAAATGATGGCAACTGTGTTGGATCGTCCACAGGTCCTGGTGATTTTCATTGCAGGTCAATCATGCCGACTATGGTTCCGTGTATGCCTTCCCGCTGTGCGGCGAAACACAGAAAAGAGGAGTGTCCTTATTCTATTAGAATGAGATGGAGATGCCACCAAGATTGCAACGGCCTAAGCTGAGTATACTAACAACTAACTAGGCTACAATTACAAGTATCGAGACTCTACAGAAGAGAGAGAATAGAGAATAAGAGAGCTTGAGAAGCTCTGAGCTCAACGCGTCGCCAATATCGCTTATCTGGGTCTCGGCCGAGGCACACCAGGCTCCGCCCCTTATATTAATAGCCTTATTTGAAGTAGTTTACTTCGGAATACTTAAATGATCGACCGTCCCTCTCTCCTAGAGTAGGACATAAGTTAATATGCGTCAGTTGTGTTTGTTAACAACACCTGTCTTCTTGTCATCGTCTTCCGGATCCAATCTCGACTCGGCAGGTACACGGAGTAGTCCATCTTCAAACCCCTGCCCTCAGCTGGCATCCGGATCCGTGGCGTAGCAGAGGACTCCGCTATTTTTGCGAAATCGCAAAAATAGTGGAGTTTGTTTCACTCTGTTGGATACGGCACATACGACAATAGTACTGCTCAGGCGGTGGCCCAGGTGGCCGACAAGGCACCGCTCCATGGGGTAAACTGCGTTGCTATTCGATTGTCTATTCCTATTGTTTCGTTCTTTCTCTTCTCCCTCTTCGTGGTTCCTACCTTTTCCCCTCCTCCTCAAGCTTTGTGAGAAAAATGGGCAGGAAGAAGAAAACAAGCCACTCAAACGGAGTTATTATTCATATATCTTCAGATGAGGTTGCTGAGGCACTAGCTTTGGCAAACAAAGGGAGGCAACAAATCAAACCGCTTGAAACAAATCATCCTACGCGATTTTACTTCTCGGTAGAGTACAACGGCCATTACAGTGCCTGCGAGATCCGGGTTTCGCCCTTCCCAGTCAGGCGTCATGAGAACGTTCACTTTTTCCCAGAGCAGCGCTATATCTTGTGCTGCGGGCATGCTTCGGAAGAGGACTTGAAGCAACTGCGACAAACTGTGTACAATGTTCTCATACACCCAGTCCAATGGCAGTTCAATACCAAAAGGTGAGAATCTTTATCGTCCAATCGTGAGTTTCTCTAACAATAGCGAGTGATGTGGTTGAATTTCTTCCCTCAATGAATGCGACGTCCTGTGAGGCCACAATCTCCGAAGGTATTGACTTTCTACAACAAAACGAACCTGAGTCTACAGACATTACTGAAATCGCGAAATGTGTTTCGGAAAAAGTGTTGAAAGCAATGAGAGAGACGGAGAGAGGCACATTTGTCTGCCAAAAATACCTCAACTTTGGAGACAATAGAACCGACGACGCAAGGATGCAACTTGCGGATAAGCTATGGAGTCTGGCAAAAACGCAAAGAGAGAGATTTGAGACTATTCTGTGGGCCAACAAGTTCTACGCCTTGTGCATGAGATTTATTCTTCGCACCTCACAAGCTCTTCAAACCGATAGATACCTTGATCGCGCTGCGAAAACTGCAGTTCTTATTAACAGCATTGCCAACGAGCTCTGCTTCGTGTCTCCTAATAAGGTGTGCGTTTGCGACGCGAATATAGTGTACAACGGATTCGCTAGTAAGTGTGTACACAAAGCATCCTGATACGCTGCCTAACATATTTATCAGGGGCCAACTGTCTATTACCGGACATTCCCGGATCTGACGTTGGTCGTTCATCCGTCGTGAGCAAAATAGTAGACGCATTGCGTGGCAATATGGTGCCGCTACCAGGAGCTCAGTTTATTTTCCATGCGCCAGCCGTCATCAGTTACTTATGGAACGAAGAGTAGGCCCGTTTGTCTGGGGGTTATCATTTAATCCAATACTAACTCTGATCTTGTTAGCTACGCAACTGTATGCAAGCAGCTTGGAGCGGAGAGTCTAGCTCATCACGATCTATCGAAAGTAGTTGAAAGAATTGGCAATACAGATTTGTATACCTACGCTGTACGCTGTGCTTGCCCCTGCGGCCACAGCGCCGCGACAGGTGCGTTCCGGGCCCGCGGAAACTTGACTATAGCCAGACAAGAGGATGGCAGCATTATCAGCGATGCAGGCAGAGACTCGAGTTCCACATCTTTAGTGCCCTATTTCCCCTCAATGGCACATCGTACTTTTGTTGGTGATTTTGAACAAGTGTCTTCAGCAAATGTCAACAAAAGGCCGGCCATACAGCAACAGAGTAACGACGCCACAAAGCGACAGCGCGCGGTCACGGACTATCCTAAAACCACGCCTGATAATGTCACTTCGAACCCTGATCAAAGAGACATATCTGGATCCCCTGACAATGCTGGCAGCTCTTCCGATGTCGTCAGGGACGATCAAGCTGAAGGGGACATGGCAGAGACGATTAATAGCGCGTATGGGCCTGACACGCATACAAATTCAGATGACTCCGTACCAGTCACCAACAGAGTCCATGATGATTGCGCTAAAGCTGCTCAGCCGACTCAGGATCCAGAGGGCGGTTTGGACGAGTCTTTCACGACTTTCTTAATGCGGGAGATGACTGAAAATTTTGGTCTGGACGGAGGAGGCGCATTGTTTAATTTGCACAACTGGGAACACGAGTTACTACAAGGCTCGTTTTATGAAACGAGGTACCATTAGGAATACGTCGGTCCATAGTATGAGCATATACAATTTAATATAGTTATTTGTAACCCTTCCAATATTCGCACAAGATTCTTATTAAGATCTAGTCAGCTTGTTATAGAGGTTAGTAGAGTTTAAAGCCCATTATGGTCCTACGGGAGCCGCGTCGCGATCGGCGAGCAATGAACATATTAAATATACTATATTTTACTCACTACCAAGCCGGGGAGGAGATAATGGTGAATCTAAGGCAAGGATATACTGAATAATTACTATTTCTTTGGATTTATAAGCTTCCACGAATTAGGCATTGTATCGCATGTCGTAGCGGCTCCCGTTATGCGATTCTTGAGTATGCGTTGGGGGACTGTGCAGATCTTGAAAGCGGCTCAAACAATTGGTTTTGGATCTGTTTTAGTAACTTGAGTGGTAAAATTATGTGTCTTTCTGCATATGAAGTTGAAACTCTCATATTTCTTACGTAGAGGGATATGTGTTTACAGGTGGTACCGTTTCGTGGCTGGGTAGGCGGCTCGCTATGCACTCACACCGTAAGCTAAGAGCTTTTTTGGAGTACTGTCCTTCCCAGCAGACCAGAAACTATAAATATACCGGCCCTTCCCCTCTAATCATCAATCAAGTTGAATCCTTACACTACACTACAATCTCTCCAGCTCTTTCCTTTTCGAAATACGTCAAAGGTACTCTAGCTTCTTAGCGACACCAACAGTCAGCTCAAGGTCAGATATATACTTATGCCCTTTTATGCTCTCAGTCTATATAGATAAGACTAACGTCAAACACAGAACAGCGAATCTGAAAGCAATGGGCTTCTGGGGCTCTCTCTGGGAAGGTGTCAAGGAGGGTGCAAAGTGGGTTGCTGACCATTCTGGCGACATCTTGAAGGCTGGGACGGCCATAGCGAAGGTGGCAGGCGGGCTGGCTGCTGAAGGTAAAGGCACTATTGCCTTCGCCAACGACCCTGTCTGGAAGCTATACGACGATTATGAAAAAGCTTCGCAGGTTCTACTTAACAAGGCAGAGATTACCACCTCACCCACCAACAGACAAGAAGTTGTAAAAACTGGGAAAGTCTGTGGTGTTTGGTGGAACCCAACTCCTTTTGCAAGCAACAAGCCATTGAATTTCAATATGAAGAGGGATATCTCCAAGCTCCTCAAGGCATCTGCAGCGCCTGCGCAGATTCTACACAAAGGGACCTGGTTAGACACAGCACAGGTGGTGTCGGAGGCAATGTTTGCAAATTCCCCTACATTATTTGCGGACTTGCTGGATGGCGAAGATCCTGTCCAGGTAACGTCATTCGTTATCAGAAACGACACTGGAGACTGCCAGATCGAAGCAAAGCACGCCTACTATGATGTTCCCCTCGGCTCTACGAATGAGAATAACGCATGGCATGGTGCCATTCATGCCAAGACTACGGCAAGTGAGAAATTCCTACAGGCTGAAGCCGCCAAATTCTCCCGTGCACTGATTAATGACGATGGTAATGAACCTGTCACTCCTGGTGCTTCTTGGACTTCAACGATCAATGTGGACTGGATCGATCGGGAAACGGCAGAGCAGAACTTGAAAAAGTTTGAAACTGAATTCAAAAAGAGGTTCCCCGAGTATACAGTCAAGACAAACTCATCAACTGGCTATGAGCAGCTGCTCCAGATCGCGGGCCCAGTGGGTGCCACGCCTGCGGATATCAGAAGCGCTGTCACCGACACTATCAAAGGCATGCTACCTCCGCAAAATGAGGCGTTGCCCTCGATCAATGTGACATTATCGACACTTAATTAATGGGATACCTATCAACGGCAATCAGTTTGATAAGGAAGGGCAGAAGAGATTCAGCAATGTACTGTTGACGATTGTGTTTGCTCTAGCTGGCCTTGGTATAGGTTTTTTCCTAGATTAGGTTTTCCCTATACTGTTATGCAAATGCAAAGGCAATATAACTATAACATTCGTTTATATTCTTGGTTGAAAATCTTCAGCCTAAAACTTACGCAAGAAAATGCATCTAAAATAGAAAAGCTCCTAAACAGGAAATATCTTATTGGCTCTGGTTGCTCGTTGCTTGCTCGTCGATGACTTGCATAGCTTGCGGCATGCAAATCTGTTACTTTCCCGCCGCTACTATTTATTGGGTCTATGGATTTTCGTCTTCTGCATTGCCGTCCAACTGTCCATCCAAGCGTACGTACAAGGCCACAACCGTGCTTGAACACGGTTAGAATAAAATTGATGCCACTTGAGAGTTATGAGTAGATGATTGAACTCGAAAAACTAGTTCTATTCTGTTGTGTTTAGCAAGGAATCAACTCTTGACGTGTGCCCTGATCTCTGTCAACTTTGATCTTCTCGAAGCTCCCAGTTCGCGGGCTCAGTGCCTCCAACCTCCTCTCGTCTAGCCTTGGATTGAGAAGATCAACGGACCGGAAGCATCGCAATAATCTCATGCCTCCGAACGACGTACACCCGGATAACTGCAGGTAGGTCGTTGTGTTATCGTAAGCTATCGGCTCCCCTGAGGGCGAAAGGTGATGGTCGTATAAGCCAAGCACGGCCTTTGTTCCAGCCTTGTAGCCAACTCAAGTCAGATTCCCACTCTTACCGCAGCGCTATTGTAGTTCCAGGACTATTTAACACAATCCGTAACCGATAAGAGACAATGATTACGGAGTACCATTGATATATGTATGTATGTATACATATACCCCGTGAAAGCTGCTTCACGTAAACCTTCTGCTCCGTGCGGAACTCTTGCTTGTCAGGACTACAACTAACAACGGTGTTATCATTTCATGAGAGACGCCGTAATGGTCATATTCAACTTTGCCAAGACGGTCATGCTCGTTTCTAAAAACAGAAATTCCAATGCCTATGCGAACAGCTCGCTAAGCTTAGGCTAACACATGATGACGACGCAGCAACCTATTCAGCAGCCGATGCGCGAAGCCTTTCGCTCTGCCAAGGAAGCCATTCACGCCTGCATTCAATTCACGGGAACAACTCAAATGCTTCCTATTAAGTTCCAAAATAAATGTATCCTTGATGAGTGGGACTTGTATCACAAAAGATATGACACTTGGTGTGGGAGGATTACAGATTCACCATTACAGGTGACTTGGCACCATCACATCTGCATCTCCTAGGTGACTACAGCGCCATCCAGATTGGTGCCCTAATCACTCACTGTATCCCCTTTTTGGGAGTACATGTCCAGATATATTAAAGTGCTACAGCCGGACGAACAACGACCTCGATCATACGTACAAGTCCAAACACTACAAGGCAGCACCGTGGTGATAGTATAATGTGGCTCTTATACTTGTTGTAAATTTTATGCAGGTACTTCAAGATATTCAAATAGACTTTAAGATACTCTCAAGATGTTCGGCTCACCTACGGCCATTTGACAGAAACAAAGGCCCGATTACAGCACACCGGACATGTGACAATATGATTGATTGGTTCACTACAGCAACATCTCTTGTGCATCATAATGAGAGACTCTTGATTTCCTATATAAAAAGAGGGGTAACTATAGGCAGCAAAGCAATTAGGAGTACTTGAAAGGCAACAGTATACTCTGTTTGCTATGCATGAGTGGCTCAGGCATAGCTAGGCCAGTCGGGCGCCGTAACTTCAAGCCAACGACCGGCCTGTTTGGGGGAGCCCGGCTGTCTACTTCTGAAGATCGCCAACAAGGTAGTAAGGAGCCTCAACCACATCCGGGTTCAGGCCCTCTGAACGCTCCTGAAGTTCGTTGCTAAGATAGTAGGGCGACGCAATCACGTCCGTGCTAAGGCCCTCCGAGCGCTCCTGAAGCTCTTCAGTAAGATAGTAGGGAGACGCAATCACGTCGGGTTTCAGGCCCGCAGAGCGCTGAGCAGGGCATGTTAGTCACGAGCATCTTGTTGTTGCTTTGATTGAATCAAAACGGGAATATATGGCTGATAACCTCCTTACCCTGGCCGACTTGACAGTATCGTCGCTCATGCGAGCCTTGATAGAATCCGCTGGCAAATCTCTCTTCCTGAGGCCAGAGGCATCTTTGTGGCTGTTAGCGAGAACCAAGGACTAAGCAGGCTGAGGACTTTCTCACCAGGGGATGGACCAGTCGGGGCCGCAGCTCCAAGGTAGCTGGCGAGTGCGAAGAGAACAATGGAGAACTTCATCTTAATATGCTCAAGCGTTTGTTTGGTCTTGCTGGTTTGCAGTTGGTATGTTTGGACTTTTTCAGAATAGCTCGAAGGCTTGGATGATAGTGAGGAGACTGAGAAGGAGGTCTAGAAGAGGTGTAAGATGCTTGATTTATAGATGACAAAGGGCCTTGACGGTAATGGCATGGGCATGACTGCCTTGACAGTTGACATCTTTCAATGTTGCTCCGCCTCCATATCAAGGAAAAGCATGCCGACGCATACCGAACACGCACATATTCAAAGCACCTTTTAATCTAGACAGTTGCAGAGGCGCATAATCTATTAGTTGTGTGCTTGCGTGGTATGCGGAGTGATCACACCTGCCAACAGTTGGGCTTCTTGCATTGTTCTTGTCTTTGTTTTCACAAGAGCATCCTGCTGCGTGTCGCCTCCTGCTAGGGAAGCCGCATTGTATGACAGTGATGCTTCCTGCATGTGCATATACTCAAAGCACTTGCCAATATTGACTCGGTTTCAAATATGCGTAATCTATTAGTTGCGGTTTGCGTCATCATGCACTGTGATCACGGCTACCTTGAGAGTTGGGCATCTCTCCACAGTATTTCCGCACCAATGAAAGTACCTTTCTGCATGTTGGCTCTGCTGCGAAATGGGACTTGACGGCAGTGATGCTTTCCGAACATGCATATAGCCAAAGCACTTTCCAGTCCAGACTCAGTTCCGAAGATGCTGCATAATCTATTGGCCGTGGGCTTGCGCCATGATTCTCAGAGACCAACATACCGCCAAGAGCTTCCGTGCTCAACAGCGAATCAAAATATTCGGGGGCCGAGCGGTCCGAGCCATAAACAAGTAGTACTATGAGATCAAGGTTGGGGGCTGGAAAAGGACATGCGGTTGGTCGAGGCATCACTGCCCGTCAGACGATCAAATCTAACGCACGGTTGCTGCACATCTACCATTACGGATTGTTGGTTGAGTCTGTTGGAAGTTTCTAGTTTTACAGAGCACGGGACACATGAAGCAGTAGTGGTGAAGCGGTAAGCGTGTACCATCATCCTCCCAGGAATGGTTACCAAGATATAGCAACAAGCAGAGTGGCTAGCTATAGGCCGATCAGTAGTAGACGAAGTGGTTGAATTGAACTATTATTGTGTCAACTGCGGCCTGCCTATAGTAGGTTGTTACGAGCTGCTATTTGCAATGCTGTAGTACATCTAACACTGTAATATCTTTCATCGCGGCATCCACTACGAGGCCCAGAATCCCCAAAGATCCGCGTGGTCCTCAACATACTTTAGAATCTTGGAAAAGTTCCGACATGTGTGCAGAGTGCTGAAATCCGGGGCAGGGTCTCCATTCTTCCATGAAACTTGTTTGGCTGTGATTGGGGTTATGTCTGCCGTACACATCAAGTTTATGCGCAGCATTTCAATACAGTGGTCTGATCAAATTCATCAACGTACATTTGTTAGCTTAGGTACATGAAAGCTTGACTTCAGGTTGGTGATGGGCATACCGAGGTGCGCTCGCTCTACCTTGGGCGGTGCCTCGAACTTGTAGTAATCAGGCCAGGTGTGCTTGCGGATTTCATTCTGTAGTATGACGCTTGTAAGCATTGAGCTTGAAGTGGGAAAATCTGATATACACACCAGACAGTGGAGCTGATGGAAGACCTCGAGCAAAACTTGTACATCGTCTGTGCCGTCCCCGAAGCCGGTAGTAATCTCCGCGTCGGCTGACTTGTTGAGCCGTGATAGATCGTCTTTTGAGATTCTCAAGCTCCCCGTGCCTCCTATGGAAATGCGATTCCATGCCTCATCCAGTTCTGGAGAGGGCTGGCCTCGCCAAACTGACGGAGCAAGAAATTCTCCCTCAAAAGTCGTTTGGTAATACTCCACAGCTTCGAATGCCGGTGCTAGCAACGAATTAACGGCTCTTCTTCCATACTCTGCCTGTCATGCAACCTACACCATGTAGAAATCTGTCTGCCACAGTCGTAATCGGTGACGGTAAGCCGTCCCAGAGCCATGCTCAAGATGATGAGACATATTAATGAAAGCGAGGTGAAAGCGACACGGAAAAGCTGCAGCCGCTGGCCTCTCCATCCAAAAGCTGAAGCATTATCTTCGTTCAACCCTTGCTGTACATGATACGGCTGAGACTTTCCAGGGTCCAAGTTGACGGGGATGGGTGTGTATGCGTAGCTTGAGGTGGGAGCCATAATCAACTTTAGGAAAAAGGTGAGCTTGGAAAGAGAGAGAAAGAGAGAAAGAAGTCGTGTAAGCTCAACAGCGCAGCATCATAGATGATGGAACAAGAACGTCCAGAACCAGCCGGAAATCCGAGGGGGGAATTTCGATGGGAGACTCTTGCGACTGATCTTGAACAGACGCTTCGACTTTTCTCGGCACATCTCAAATGAAGACCAACAAATCAATATGCATGACCTGTGGCACAACACACTCCACCAAAAAGGAAGGTCACAAATACCGAGTTGTTCCCACGATCAGTCATAACGGCAATCCTTGCAAATGCAAGTTGCTGTTGGCTTGGCTTCGGTTGACCCGCTGGCCCTTTGACAGGAGGCGGGCCCGGGCGAGAGTTGCAGAATGTATTGAGCAGTCTCCTTCGGGGTTGGCCGAGGACTAGATGCCGATATACACTCTCAGTTCCTTCAAGCCAAGTTCAGGTGATCCGTCCATGGCACAACATTTGCCTGCTACCGCGATGTCGCTAGGCCACTTCAAAGAAGATCCGGTCGCCGAGATAGGCGAGAGTGACGATGATGGACTCAACGCACATGACGGCCAAAGTCTATTGCCCTCGTCATTTCTTTTTGCCCGTTCTCGCTCGTGGTATGACAGAGTCAAGAGTGCAATTTTAAGCCATTCTATTCTTGTCTCTTGGGCTCTCAACGCCATATTTCTTGTGTTAGTTGTCCTGATAATCGCGGGTAAATCCACAGCCCGGTGCAAGACGAGTCCCGATGACCAGGGAGGCCGTTATAGTGAGTACATGCCATTTTTCTTTGTTCCGGTTACAGTTGTGATGCTCCTCTGACTCGCTCTGAAATTAACGCGTCTCTCAAGGTCCAGCGGAAGATGCGGTGGAATATGTGCCGATCGTCTTCAAGCTGGGAAACAGCCTCGCCAGCTCTCCATACCAGGGTTTTCCGACAGATGAGACTGATCGATTATGGCAAGAGCTCTATAACGGTAAGAGGGTCTCCCATCCTCCTGATGCAGCCGCCCTAACCTCCTCAATAGTCGGCACTTTTATTCATGTTGATGAGGACGTTGGCAATCGTCTTCTGAATACGTCTGTCAAAGCGCCAGTTGTAGGTAGTGAGAACGACCTCATGGTTGGCCTAGACGTGTTCCACCAGCTACACTGTCTAGTAAGTGCGCGTTCGAATATGCTGAGTGACATTGGAGGTGACGCTTATGCTGGACGCAGAATCAGATTCGAATGGCCTTCTACCCACGGCGGTATAACACATCGTTGACAAATCCCGACGGCACAGTCAAATACATGCAATGGCTGCACATAGGTGAGAAGGAACCTGGCTGCCTGGGAAACACCAAGTCCCTGATGCTGATGGGATCAAATGACAGACCATTGCATCGAGTCGCTCCGCCAATCCGTAATGTGCCACTCAGACACCAGTTTGATTACGTATAAGTGGCTGGAGAGCAAGAAGATTACTGAGCCGGAGCTCGAAGTAGTTCACATGTGTCGAAATTTCGACAAGATTCAGGATTGGGCATCTCATCGAACCGTAAGCCTTAGTAGCAAGAGGCTACATGTTGAGAATGGAGCCATTGTCGACTATACGAACTGGGGGCCGGATCCCGAGGCTGCTGTGGCGGATGATATTCCGACCGGGTGGAATTATACCATAGAAGATCTGTAGTTCCGTGTATGATTTGTTCGTCACATTCATGCAGAAGATTAAAAAGTGGCTTGATCTCACCAGATGAAAACGGCCATGTCCCACGGAAATGAGCGACACATCAAGTCAATCTAGACCGTATCACCAACCAACAAGGTAGCAAGGCATGAGGCGGAGACACCCGTTGCAGGTGGCCTTTGGTGCTCCGTACTTACAGCAAAGATGATGCTCGTTGGTCCATGAAGGTGTTGGTCGTGACATGGAGCTTGGCAATGACAGGACTTTGGAACACTCAAGGCCCTGGAGACTGCAGAGCACCGCTCTGACAGAATGGCCCTCGCTCTCCGTCAACAGCAGGGACCTTCTACTGGCTCTGGCAAGGACAAGCTGTGCGGCATGATGCTTCTCAGTGCCGTCGCGATCCGTTTCTTCCACAAACCGCGAGGCTATGGTGACGGGTGCGCCCCCGCCCCTCTTTCAGTAACTCTACTAGCACCCCCTATGTGTGACATGGCTTGATAGAGGATATTTTGTACTATTTTGTACACCGGCTCTGGGCACAGCCGGAAATCCTCCAGAGCACGCAGAAGATACTATAGGGTAGGTGTCCTTGGCGCCGACTGTCCCCACCTAAACAAATACAGCTGCGCGATGACACACCAGCTGACGCTACATACTAACCTACTCCCAACACAAACCCCTTTCTTTTCTTTTCTTCAAGATGCGTCAGGGCACTCAGACTGCTCCATTCTCATCTGTCATGGCGGTCCAGATCCTCTCCGACCTACATCTAGAGTCTCCCACGACGTACGACGTGTTCGACATTGTTCCCAGAGCAGCGTATTTGGCCCTACTTGGGGATATTGGCTACATCGAAGCACACAACGCTGACTGCCTTGCATTTTTAACTCGACAGTTGAAACAGTTCAAGGCCGTGCTGTTCGTCCCGGGCAATCATGAAGCGTACCGCTCCAACTGGGACGACACCATCCAACTTCTGCGCATCTTTGAAAAGGAAACCCGGGACGATGCGTCTCTTGGGGAATTCATCCTCCTCGACCGAGCCGCCTACCGCGTACCGGGTACAAACGTCGTCGTTCTAGGCTGCAGTCTTTTCTCACACATCTTGCCCGATAAACACCTGGCTGTTGGCATGGGCATCAACGACTTTTACCAGACAACCGACTGGACCACAGACACCCACAACGACATGCATCAACGGGATGTCGCTTGGCTCAACCGCCAGGTCGCCGACCTGGATCGCTCCGACGTTCGCATCATCATCTTTTCGCACTGGAGCCCGTCGCTGGATCCTCGTGCCATGGACCCAAAGTATGCTGGAAGCTCCATCACCAGCGGTTTCGCCACCGACATGTCGGAGCAGCCAAGTTTCAAGAGCAGCAAAGTTAAGGTGTGGGCATTCGGGCATACCCATTACAACTGCGATTTCTCGCTTGAACGAGGCGATGGCATCGAACCCCTGAGGCTAATTACCAACCAGAGAGGGTACTGCTTTGACCAGGCCGCTGGTTTTGATCCGGAGAAGGTGGTCTCTATCTAATAAGGAGCTCATGGATTCTACGACTGCATGGAAATCACTGTGCCCCAAAGGGTGGGCCGTACATCTGCCGCAGCGACAACTCGGTTCGAGCACACGACAACAAGTGGCACAAGATGTCGCGAATTATGAGAGATGAACCTGAAGGCGCGCCTTTGGAAGCAGTCACGGCCAACAACTTGCCGTATTTCCAGAGGCCTCATATTGTAGGAACACAGGCCGGCAGTAGACAAACATCATGTCAAACCTTGGCGGCTGGCGAGACGCGTCGCATGGCGAGCTGTGGCCCGCGATGCGTCGAATGATGGCTGTTTGAAGACGGGGACAAGATATTGCAAGTTGCTGGCAGGTCCTAGAAAGTCTGCCAATCTCGTCCCAAAAAAGAAATACAGGCTCAAGTGCGCTACATTATAATATATGGGGTGTATGCTTTCTTATTAGGCAAGTATACTCTGCCACAGACTGTACGTCTTGCCCAGTCTCAAGAATGCGACATGGTCCACAATATAGAGCCTTTTTTTTATTATTATTGCTCTGTAACGCATAGGTCCTTGTTCTATACTTGGGACTATCACAGTTACTAAGGTGCTGGATTGCAGCCGTTGTCGACTCTGCCGCAAACAGCTGGCTGATATGTCGCTTCTGAATATGACAATCGGTGCAGAGGAAGTACTTGTAATTGCTATGCTCAAGCTCGGTTCCATGTGAATAGATTCACGAGGTCTTTACTCGCCTTCCCACGCTCCTGCCTCGATTCTGGCTGCCATTCTCAATGCACGAATCGGTAATTCCCCTAAATTAGAGCGACAAAAACAATCATCGAGTTCAAGCACTTGACAACTTGGCACTCCGCTAACTTGGTTGAGAAATTGCAGGTTTGAGCTTGACTGTAGTCTTCGCCGTCTGCACCTCAGCTTTTCCGTCGACTTTACTGGGCCAGTCCCACTGCCGAAGTCTTCTTGAGGCCCAGCGACGAAATATTCTTGGGCTTGAATCTCTTCTCCGGAATCTTCTTCTTGTAGTTGCCCATCGGCACACCGGGCCTGGTTTCCACGCCAAATTTGGTCGGCAGTCCATCACGCCGCGGTCTGCGGCGCCAGGTCCTACTCCATGCTTGCAGAGAGGCCCCTATTGTGAGCCAAGCCGCTGGCTTATATTCTTGCTTGAGGTAGGAAGAAACGAACCCCCAGCCTTTGATGCCGGACGCCAAGTCGGGCCTGTCCCTACGCATGGTGGCCTTGTGAGCGAAAATGCAACCGACAAAGGGGGGATGAATGATCTGATGTAGTTGTGACAGTTTTCTGAATGTGGAATCAAAGAATGTAGATGAGAGTTGAGGGGAGGGAAAACAATAGTTGCCGTTGTGAGGCAGATAACGCAGGAGGCGTGCAGCTGCATTTATAGGCAGTTCTGACGGCCAGAAACGCTCTTTTTGGATCTTTGCCTCGTCGTATCAAATCATGGCAAATACGGTGCGTTCCAGAGGCTGGGGTGGCGGAAAGTCAAATTGACAGAGTTCCCGATACATGGCTGGCTGAATGCGGAGTGATGAGACAACAATAATTGGTTCATATGCGTCGATAATGATGCTGAGACACCTTGACCCCGGTCATCTACGTAGATAGGCCGCATCAATAGCTTCCTGTATATGCCCGCGGAGGGACCGAGAGAGTAATATTTGACTAATGGACGTAGATGCTAATGCAGCGACAACCCAACGCCCTCTGAGCTGGTTGCATCGCGCAGACCGGTGTGGCGGAAAGTCAGACGTGACGAGTTTTTAGGGAATATTTTCCGTTCACTCATCGGCCCGGTATCTTAAAGAAATGAAACACGCGCCCGTCCTGCTCTAGACCCAATGCGGCGGCCGATATTGAATGTGCCATAGCCCTTGACTTGAGACAACTCGATGCGGCCAACCATCTGAGTAAGTTATCTACATACAGCGACGTCGACCAGAAGAATCCATTATAAATATCACCATCTGCACCCGTACACAGACCTGTACCAAAAGTCCTTTCAAGACTTGAGAAATTCCCGGTATCCCATTTCTAACCACTACCAACACCTCATCAACATGCCTGATGCTGCAAATACCTCGACCTCTACGCCTGCGCTTGCAGCCGCCCCCCAACCCCCTTCAACACCCGTCACTTGCATTGTAAATGTGACTGACGGCGTGGATAGCACGGTTGAGGCTTTCTTTCTAAAGATTCACAGCACCGACATTGACGATGAGAAACTATCCGACTTGAGATCGCAGATTGTCAAGCACACTCGCTGTGTTGAGCTGTAAGGTAGCAAAAGCTAACCATACACCTTCTCTGCTGACCCACGAGCTTAGCTTACAGTTCCCCTTTTGTTTGGCATCAGGTGCGATAGTTCAAGACTCCATGTCCGTCGAATACTACCTATCCAAATGCCTCAAGGTATAATATAACACGTGCATTTATAGTATGAAAGGCTCTAACTCGTACCAGATAGACGCAAAAGGCGAAGCAATCGAGGTATTTATGAAGGATGAAAAGCTTTTTACAGAGACGGTATGTTGGTCGAGCGCGCAAGCCCATCGCCACCCTGCTAACCCTTTCTAGGGATGGAATGAGTTCATGCCCTCGTATTATAGTAGTCCTTTAACTGGTACCAATGCCAGGTGAGATGAATTGTGCTGTATGGATTATCTTGAGGTGCTGATAAGCTATCAGGCACGTTTCCGAGCTCGAGGAGAAGCAGTGGGGTGTGGTGGTTGAGACGAATCAGCTCTGCTACGGCATTAGTACCATCACCGAAGAGGTGACTACGGGAGAAGAAGAAAAGAAGAAAACCGAGATTCATGTTGTTGGGGTGCAAAAGCCCAAGTACCCAGGTACGTCATTTTGTTTTTAAAACGGTACGTTATTAGGCTAATGCCCTACGAGCATTCCGTTTAGCAACGAGGAAGGTGCTTTCGGATACAGTGGCGAGTAGCATGGTTAAAAACGTCGAGGTTAGTATTGCAATATGACGGCGCCGGCCAGTGGAATGCCTCGACGCTAACATAACATGCGCGCAGTTGGACTTGCGTATTCCCCGTTACATCAACGACGACGTATCGTACGTAGCTTTTCGCTACTCTACTTCTAGTGCGCAAGAATCCCTAGCAAGGCAGGGCTTCTCTCAGACCGATATTTCAGCTTCGGGGTTTGTGCCTTCCGCTCCTCAACTCTGCAAGTAAATATGTTCTAATTCAAACTCTAATAGAACTGGAGGGGCCTTTGGGTGTAGCGTGGATGCGTCTGCAAGTTTATCCGTGGCGGAAAACACTTCGAATCAGAGCGACATGGCAACGAGTAAGGGCAACGCGACAATGTCCTACAATGTAGGTGACAGAGCTGGGCTCTTAGCATATGTGGACGGGCTAACCTGAATCCAAGTTTCCAAGAGTCACCATGTTTCTAGACGAATTGGATCTAGAATTAACGCCCCAGTGTGAGGAAGACCTGAAAGCAATCCAGGATGCCGCAAGTTATAGCAAATTCTTGAAGAAATATGGTAATTAGACCAAGAGCTCTTGTTCTGCGGTCTTGTGCTAACTAGCTAGGCGAATTCTTTAGCACTACAGTTCAGCTTGGGGGGTCGCTCTTTGCTACGGAGGAATACCAGACGGGCTCGGCTAGCAGTCGTGAGGCAACGGCCAAGTCACTGAAGGCTGCTGCCGCAGTATCGTTGGGTGGTGTGGGATATTCGGGATCCGTTTCTGCGTCTCATCAACAACAATCCCAGGACTCAAGGGGCGCCTCTAATGAGGAGTCTTCCAAAACACTTATTTGGGAGGCTAATGGGGGCAACACTTTGCTGTGCAACGAGTAAGCAAGCTATCCTTGGCAATGCAACGTGGTCTCAGTTCGCTAATACGATGCCACCAGCCCAGCCGCATGGGCGCCATCTGTGGCATACTATGGCAACTGGCGAATTCTCAAGGTGCGTCAAGTACGTTCGGTATTTTTGCAATGCTTGGTACCTGACATGATCTTAGCAAGAGAGAGTTGTGCGCCTCATAGAGCTGATTTGCAGGCTTCAAGGTTTTAAATACGTAAAGGAAGAGATGCCGGGGTGGAAGAATACAGGAACTCCAGTTCAGCCACCAGTTGGACAGAGGTTTACATTGAATGTGAAAGGATGCCTTGGGGGCAAGTATATGGTGGGACATGGTCAGACTGGTAAGTTGAAGCTGTTCCTCCACTAGCATGCCATGTATTAACATGATACAAGATCCGGAGAAAATTGTAATTGGACCCCAGGTTGAGAAACGAACCGCCAAATTTTTGGCATGGGAATTGGCATCGGCAGATAAAGGCGCCGTCGCTACCACGGTGAGTATTATGTAAAATAATGTGGTCAGAGAGTACTTACTTACTTACTGAGTTTAGGTGGAATACGGTAAAGACTATTTTTTGATGCATTGCGAGTCGCATCTTTACCTTGGATTTTTCGATGTCGCAAAGGCGGCGCGGCTCATTGTTGGGTTACTCGGCGGTGCTCCCAAGAAAGATAGAAATGGATCAATCTATTATATCCAAGGCACAAGGACTCGAGACTATACTGTGCGCTTTTATGATGAAGACTGCAAGGGTAAGACGGGGACTATAGAGACTGGCGACACTGTCACACTCGAGTTTAAAGGCAAGTCGGGGTCACTTGGGTTTCTAGCAGCTGAAACCTCTGACCAAGACAAGATCTATGTGACGAAAGGCACTCAAGGATACTCTCCACTCAAATTGATATACACGGAGATTACGACCCCATCGGAACCTGACAAGTCTCCGGAGACTAGATACATCTCCTCCGCGGTACTACAGAGCCAGAGCCCTTCGCCACCGCCTAAAAAAGACTTCCCTACTTGTGACGTTGATCTGACTCAGGAGATCACCTGAGAGAGAGTCTTCAGAGCACCCCTGCCTTGATAGCACCGTTAGCGGCACTGGGATTGGAGGTGATGCTACAGAATGGAATTCCAAGTAGATGGCACCAAAGTTCCCCATGTACATAATTCATAGGGCACAATCTACAAATATACTACTTGACTCTATATATCTGTGCTCACCGAGTAGCGCACAAAGTGGCGTGGACTGTTTTTACATGGCGAAACTTGACTGTCACCCAAATCCACGGTTTTCCAGCTGTAAAAGCAAGCCAAAGTATAGTTGATAGATAGCTTAAGCTAGGTTAGATACTATGAAGAAGTTCATTTTTAGTATATGACTAAACCGTGATGCTTTATTTCCTATTAGAAACTGAAATCCATCCTAACTCAGCGTTGGACAGCTGAATAGCCTGTGCGTGGCCAAAGCTAACCAAGTATTGACATGTTTGATGTGTAGCCTTACATACTTGACGCCTGTATATAAGCGTTGTTCATATTTACAATAAACTTAAGAGAGAAAAGAGGGGGAATGTCTAGTAGCCTCTTGTTTCTTATTGTATTACTGCTCTCTCATCAACAGAATAGGCAAGCTCGTCGACTAGCACTAAATGGATGTCCATGTGGATGAGGAGTACGCACCAAGTTGCGAAAAGTATTTGGATGTGCCCGCAACTGTTCCGTTTGCCTCGCACTTCATGCATTTCCAAAACTGGCCACTTCAGGTATCATTAGTAACTACTATATAGTTACTACATCACAGAGCTGTTTTGGTGTTTTGCCAGGATATAATGTGAGAGCCAAGTTCCAGCCACTTGCATTGACTCAAGCCCCCGTTGCCGCCTCTTGCCTTCTTCTTAGCCACTGAACCTGGCCCAGCCTCGCATTTCACAACTGCACCACAACGGCCTGAAGTGTGGTCGGCAGCTAACAGTTAGAAACGCAAGGAGTTTCAAGTCGCGTCAACTGGCGGGACGGATCGCCTGGCACGGTGGTAGCAGTGTTGGGCTACCACCAGGCAGTTCAAACGCCTTGCTAGTCTCCCGCCATAGATCCGACAGCGACCCAACCACCCGGTATATCGCGATTGCTAATGTCCAGAGCGTTCAAGAGGCTGCTGGCCTGCATGTGAGGTGTCGTGTTCTGTCTCGAGACGGAGCGCTGCCTGCAGCGGCTAACAAGAACCCGTGACTGGCTCTAGGCAAATGCTGGAAGATATCAGAGACCTAGGTAAATCGGATGCCTTTGCTAAAATCTTCGCTTTGATCCAGCGCACTTGGCTGGTTATATAAAGCATAGCCCGAGCACCCAAGGGCATATTATTTCTCAGCTTGAACTTTCCGCTTTAGCCTTCATTGCTTGTGCATTGGTCATGTATATTTTCTGGTGGCAAAAGCCATTTGGAATCGAGCAAAGGCATGTACTGGTTCTATTACCGGGTGCCACGAATAAGCTGCCAGCTGAGGTCTCTTTCAGCATAAATGATCTCGTCAAAACCAGCGGGCTCTCGGATACGAGAGAGAAAGATTGGAGCTAGGACACGGCCCTTGACCTACTCCACGACTTCATATCGAACACTCAATATAGACCAGAGCACCCAGAGACCCAGGAGGGTCATGGATTATTCATACAGTCCCTTGCCCCTATACGCTACGGCCATGGCGTTCTCGGGAATACATGTTGCTGCCTGGAATTGGAGGTTTCCGTCACACGTGGTACGAGACTTGTGAGATGGTTCGCGCTGGGCGCCATGTTGGCTTCTTTCCTGCTCTTAGCTGTTTTTTTTTGGCTCATCTCGCGGCTGTGGGCTCTCTCGGAACGACTCCCAGAACGACTATTCGAGCCTTGTAGATTCGTCACAACCTGTACCGGGGCCTTTATAGCACGGACTACTTTTTGTGTTATATTATTTCGAGGCTTGTGATCTTAGGTCTGACTTTATATTCTCTTTCCTGGATGCCTTCAAGAGCCAATGAAAAAGCGATCTGGACGGCATGGATACCTCATTTTTCTTAATCCCTGTATGTATGGTGCAATTTCAGATAAAGTATGACGTTAAAATTGCACCGTATATCTACAGCTCTTCTTGAAGGACTAGGTTGTCAGTAGTAGAAAAGGAAGCTCTACGCAGGGGCGGGTGTCCCGGGGAATATTCAGCCAAGTGTGTCTCAGTGCTTCTCAAGACCAACATATTCACAATCATCCATCTTATAGCTCAGTCTCACTGCTGAGATATTAGTTACCAGAAATTCTCTTCCTGTTAAGCTCGCTGAGGCTCGTTCATCGGGGACTGGCCACAGAGCATCCAGACACAGGTCAATATTTAGGGACGGATGGCGCCTAGGAGGGGGGTTAAGAAATTGTTACCTTTCCTGTTATTAGCAACGTACACGCGTGAATTCGTTTTCATTGCGATCGAAACGTGACCAAGCCATCTAATTTTATGCACTTTAAAAAGACATTTTAAAGCGACTATTCCACAAAATCGGCCTCATCTGCATCCTCACGATTATCTTCAGCTAAAGTACCAATCATTAGCGAGGCATTAATGGCTGGAGACGAAAGCTTTGGAATCTCAACTGCCGCCGTTGGGCTTCAAGACTACGATGTCACAAAATCCTCCAATATGGCTGGCTTGGACCGTTCCGATGAATCTGGCTGGGCTGATATATTAAATGGTAGATTCTTGTAGGCTGATAGCCTTGGCTCTTACTTTGAATATGGGTTTGTAGGGCCTGCTTGACGGACAACTGGTTTGACCTCTTAATGGTACGGAGAGTATTGTATTTGAATATGTATCTACTGCGACGAAATTACGAGTCATTTATTTTGCGTAGCTTTATATTATCTACATCTTTATCTTCTCATAATTTTCTCTTATCTGCGTAGCTTAACTGTTACTAGCGATATAGTCCTTTAAGGGCCTTATATCACTTATCACGATATATACTTTATATTCTTATCTTATAAGAGGAGTAAAAGGAATGTGCTTTCTATTGCCTCCCGCTTCTCGCGGGCTTACCTGTCGCCTGGACCGTCTTCACGGTGCGTCCTGGCCTTGTCTAAGAGGCCTTCTTTGAAGAAGATCTTCTTGAACTGATACTCCTCCTCGTCCCAACGGAACTCTCTTCGACGCAGCTCTAGTCGTTCCCATGGATCGTCAGGGAGAGGCGTCGGTTCACAAGGCTCGGGGGTTGGGGGGTAAGTGTCGAACCCGCTGAGCTCGGTGTCGCTGTCGTCATTGTCCTTTGACGTTGGAGATGCGGGATTGCTGGGGATGCCTAACTCCTTCGATAGTCGAGCCCACAATCGCTTCCGCCCTGTGTCACGCATCCGTCCAGATTGGCGTCCTGGCTCAAACGGTCGCCTTTCAACCTTGTGTTCCATTATCCTCAGGGCTCTCTAGTGCTTCCTGTATACTCGATCATACTGAAGATAGATATTCCTTTCCTTGAGCATGGTCTTTTGCAATTTATACCAGTCTTCACTAAAATGCTTCCGGCCCCAGGCTGCATAGGTCTCGGGATTATATGGCTTTGGCTCGGACGTCCATGGTATTCGGCCATCGGGGTCGTACGTGTCAGGATCGTAGGTTTGCGGCACTAGCATCTGCTCACCCAGCACCATTGCGTACGACTCTTCGCCATAATGCTTCCGATACCACGCCGCATAGGTTTCGGGATCATATGGTAGATATCAAAGACACGGGCAATGAGTCGTGGTACTCAGCCCAGACCCTTATTGCAACCCCGAGGGTCCCGCTGTCGAGCGCCAGTGGATCTTCACGATAGGTGACGCCCGATTTCGCCTTATACCGCGAAGGACGCCTGGCAATCAAAATGAGGAGGCATTCACCGAGGAGAGGTTGCATTCGCGGGCCAACCCGACCCCGATCGGACAATCAAAGGGACCCTGCAGCGGATCTTCACCCTAGGCTTGCAGAACGCTTATAAAATCGTCGCCGTGAAGGCAGAGGTACCTTAATAGAAGATCTCTTCAAAGAGGGATCTCAGGAAAAGAGTGAAAATAAAGTTAAACCTGGTTCAAGCGTCAACACATGTGAGCTCTTAACTAGACATAAAGCCTTTAGACATCCTCTACCAGGGCGATAAGTTGCTTTAAGCAGACTTTAGGATCAGTAGGCCATTAATACATTAAATACCGTTATTAAAACACAATAGTACATGGCGCCCAAAGTTCGGCAGAACAAGGAGCAAACGATAAAGGTTAATATATAGCGGCTTGGCGTGATCGCTGTCGAGTGCTTGGTTGGACTTCCGTCTGAACGAGAGAGGGAAAAATATTCGGACTGGAACCAGCGGCATGATGTCCTCCAGGCGCGCCTAAACTAGCACAAACCTCGCCTCGTATCTATGCTCAGAGTCAACGTCGAACGGCGTTCAACCGCTCGCGACCTGCTTAACGCGTTCGAGCAGCTCAGCAGTCCACTAACGCCACGTTACAAAACCCACTAACGAATGCCACCTTGGCGAGTTGGAGTATCATCGTTTGCGAACCAGGCAAAACGGAAATTCAAATGGCGCCAAACAGCTCTCTGCTTGCACCGATATGCAATGGTCGGAAATTCCGATAGCGTCAAACAACTCCCTGCCATGCAAGCCACCATCTGTAAAGGAAAGCTACCAACGCCGGCTACATATCATATAAACGACATCGTTCAAAAATCTGTTGCTACCGAAAACAGTCCGGGCTTCAAATCTGTTAGCTCGAATTGGAAAGAAGGAGATTAGGGACCACACGTCTCGAAGTATCATTTTTTTGTTTCTAATACTAAGGGCAGTACCTTAATCCCAAAAAATGTGCTAGCACTGCGTTAGATCCGTTGTTGGCCCAAAAAACACACACACCACCACGCAATAGCATCTAGACTTGGAGTTCAAGGCAATCAAGGCGAGAAAACTCTCTTCAGGAAGTCGTAGTTCCAAGAAAGATTAAATAATTACAAGACTCTTCATGGGTTAACAGAGGGGGAAAATCAATGCATTATAAATCGTCTCGAGACTATGTCTGAAGGACAAGCGCCCGTTGACTAAAATCTAAGCAAACTCTCTGAAGCTAATGTCCACGTACTTGTACTTGACGGGGCTCACATTGTCATATTACCCTTCCAATGCCCCTGGTTCGGTATGTGCAAAAGCGCTCACACAATCCCCATGTATCAACACACCGTGTAGTTGTCCGTATCTCAGCCAAATAACCGTCACAATTGCTCTTAAAATATGTTTCATCTTAATAGCCCAGAAATGTCGCCTGCAAGTATTCAACTGCAGATTCATGTCACGTACTATTCTAGTCGCAATTGAACCAAGCTTGTCAACGGAATAAAAGGAGGTATAATTGTTCAGCAAGAGAGCGCGTTCTTTTTGTTGACAAAGCTTTTCTTCCGCATGCACAAAAAAGAAAGGCTGAACACAGCATCATGTACTTGTAGACGCCTTCGTTCCAAAGGGAAGAACATTGTCATTGCAGGTGCTATTGCTATTTGACCTAGTATTCTTTAGTACATGTTCATTATATAATCGAGAATAAGAACGAGTGTGTTAGTTGAACCAGTGATGCTCCACCTTGTTTCAAAAATTTCGAAGCCAACTTGAATCCCTTGGAGTGATCGGTCATAAACAGCCGTACCAGTTGATGCCTCTCGCAAGTATCAATGCTGCCAGCCAAGATATTGCTTCAGGACTGTATAACAACATCTCTCTCATGAAGTAGTATGTGACGGCCCAATGCGGTCAGATTGCAATGAGGCCTTTCACTGGCTCGTGGCCTCACCATCCTCATAGGCCCCGGTTTTGTAACTGAAATTGACAATAGACGAGGCGGCATCTTCAGCCTCCCGCTTGGATTTCTTCTCATGGTGCGCATGAGATGCGTACGAAAAGTCCGCAAAAGACGAAACAGCGTCGTCACTACGTGCTTCGGTATTCTCTATAATCAGTAAGCGAGTGCTACCATTAGAAGCAAGGAGATTGACGAACGGATCACGGGGGCGGCAGAAACCACCAGTGCCAAAGTCGCGAAAGCAATGCAGTACCGCATGTTGAAAAAGTAGTCGATGATAGATAAGTCAGAAACGTGAGGTTAATTAAAGATATCGTATGATGAGGATCCGAATGGGGACTAAGGCTGTGTCAGTGGAATTATACAGACACCAAGATACGGGGCCCAGATCGTTAGTTGAACGGGCGGGCGATTACTCGCACATTTCCTTTTTGCTTTTTGGATGTCCTACCTTCTGTTTCTAACACCCCTCTGCTACAGGTCCTGCGAATTTTTAGCTATGTATTGTATCAAATTCACGGCGGTCAAAATAAGCGCGGTGACGTGTTGGTGTGCTGACAACACTGGTGTCGCCGATTCCGATCCAAAGGCGCAGCCAAGACAGTCCAGTCTAATTTTTAGTTACGTCATGACAGTTGATACTTAGACGCTGCACTGGATTGTATTAAGAGTTTCATTCTTATTCTGAGAATTAAATCATGCACGACGAGGGGCATCATTCGGTGTGCATGTCATGTCATCCATGCATCTGTTTTACATGCAGCAAGCTAGAAACTACGGTTCCATACCACTACAAGAGATGTCCGAGTTTTCAGCCTCGGAATTTGCGAATTCAAGTTCCGATACGATGAACATGCTATGGTTTATCGCCCTCTCTATGAATCCAGATCTGTGAGCGCGGTCGAAACCGAAGGACTCGACATTGCACTTCAGAAACACACTGTGTTGTGATACCACGATGTACATGGAAGCAAGCTATTCACGTCTGGAGGACTTTGTACGTGAATCCTCTGCGTTGCAGTCAAGGGAATGCCCTCTTTGTCAACGCGAGAACCGTACTAGACACCTCATTTTCATGTCTGGTGTCATCTTTTCCTTCGTTACTTTATCAGCATGGGTCGTGATCCTGCAGAAGACGGAGAATTACGTGACAAAAGTTCAAGAGCGAGATCTAGAATATCGTAAGTAGAGGTATCTATGTCTACCCTCAGTTTTACACACCGAGTTACCGTGTATGACAGAGCCGGTTGTTAAAGAATTTGGGCAAAGGAATCGAGTGGAGTTCATTGGAGCCTTTGAAGCTGCGTCCATATGGCGAGGGTACCCTAATGATGCCAGCGATGCTGCATGGAAAAGTGTAACCGATGGCATGTATACCATTCCAAAAGTTGTGCCGTCTCAGCCAATCAAATATAGAGAGAAGAGTGAGACGATTGACGGAATAGTTATACACAGTTAGGGCCATGGTAGTTGGCAAAGAAGAAATAGAATCCCGGGGCAAGCTTCGTGACAGCTCAGTGTTCTTAAGTCACAACCAGCAGTCTGGCTACATGATGTCACTCGAGGCATTCCACCAAGTACATTGTTTGGTGCGTCACTCTCCAATGCGTGTTCCTGAGAAAAAAATCCCTCGTTGCTGATCTAGTAAAGCGGTGGCAGGATCTTTTGCGTAAGTACTTATATTTGGATTACTATAAAGCTAAAGAACCCCAACTGTTCAAAAAGTCAAACATTCGCACCCATACCGGTATGCTGTCTTGCATTACTTAAAACCCTAAATCCAGGGACTGACACAGTTAGATCATTGTTTTGAGCTTCTTCGCCAGGTTCTCATGTGCTTAGCTGATCTCCGACTTGTCACATATGACTGGGTAGACGATGCGGGATTCCCTTGGCCAGATTTTAGCACATGACACATGTGTAGAGATTACTCCAAGGTCGTACAATGGGGCAGGAGCCACGTTTTCATGACGAATGCGAGCAACGGGATAATCCCAATACCCGCAAATGTGCCTGAGTTGCATATACCGCATTCATAGTTTAGCTAAGCAATATACTGGCGAGGTTGCTTGAAGGGCAGTTCCGTATTAATATAAACATTCAACAGTTACAAGCGCACATAAATGCACCGCATATGTAATAAGTCATGTTAGTTATATCATGGTTGCGTAAAATTAAGATCTATTCTATTATTTTATTACGTGCATTCCATTCACGAATCTTCTTAATGTCCCTGCATTTTTAATAGTTATTAAAGTTAGCGTGTTTCCCTCTCTCTCTATTAAGTTTAATTAGCGGCGACGGGACATCACTTGTGCATATAAGGCCAATTCTAGTTGCCTCTATACAGTGATCCATATGTGTTCTTTTAATAGCCGGATCACCATGAAAGTCCCTGGGAACTGCCTCATATGTCCCAAGGTACGTGTAACGACGAATTATATCCTTATTATATATTAGAGGAATGCTTTCCTTTTTTTTGCATGTGTTAACTTAACCTACTAAGTAATGCAGTTAGTGGAAAACCTTTAACGCTGCGAAACCATTTCCTTTATCTTTAGGTGAAAGTTTCCATATACTACCATCGCTGAGAGTTTAATTCAACTGCGGAATCTTGTTGAGTGGAATGTCCACGGCGCCAACTGCTTAATATTTTAGTGCGATAGTCCTTGAAAGTTAAGATATTCTAGAGTTTAGCACGTGAGATTAGTACCTTACCAGAAATAGGCCTATTTACGATCCATCTCAGGCGTAGGGTGACCTCTATATTCTGAATCACTAAATTGCTCGACTCGCACGTTATATTCAATGTAATCTACGGCTTTAAAGGTAGGAGCTGGTGGGAGGCCTTTAGTAATCGCCGGGTCATGTTAGATGCGGAGGGCTAAAGAGATTTAAGTATCCTTACAATACGTCGAGATTTGTCTGCCACACTGCGTATCGGTCAGTCCCCTGAAGGCGAAGTGGAAGATCCAGACGACCAAAGAGGAAAATATGACTAGAGTTACCAGAGGCGCTACCTGCGTACCATGTCGAGCTGTATTACTATTTTAGAAGGATTTCGTGCGCTGTCCGACATCGTTCTTTACATTAGAGGATACCGCTTTATATTTCAATTTAGCTGAGTTAATACCTAGAATAAAATGAAACGCTATAATAACTTAGTTTAGTGTTAATTGTTCGGCTATGGGAAAAAAATCAAGTGCGGCTATAAACAATAACTAGTATAAGCCGTGTAGTGTCTCTATGTTAGGGCAGAAAGAGTAGAATGATCAGACGATATCGTTGACAGCGGCCAGTGTCACTCCATCGCTCCCCCGAGGCACACAGGTACTAAAGGGATCCGACAAATTGCATTTAGGTACTATGTCTCCCCCCAGAGCATTAGCAAGCAGCCTTCTTAGTTCCAAAAGAGTAAGTGCCGAAGCTAACATAACTTGGAATCTCCCGACCTGTATGTTAGTTAACTTGGCGCATTAGTGTATCGGAAATTTTGATCGGAAGTTCTTCAGTTAATCCGACAAATCGACACACGCGTCAATGAAAGGCGGGTCTCGATGAGCCCAGTGGATTTTGTGATGTGTCAATGCATTCTATGTTTTTTTACCTACCCTTTCTTTCTTGCATGTTCAACGACACCTAGACTACTCCTTGAAAGATTTTGCATTATTGCAAGTCAGACAGGAAACAAGCGTAATGGCAGCTACAGCGGACAAGTGGATATCGCGCTTATTGCCAAATCGATGGAAAGAGACAAACAGCTCAAACGGCCAGTTTGAAGTGGAAGATAAAGATGATGCTGGACCTCTCTTAAGAGGACCCAGATTAGCAAGGCCCTGGGCACAAATTCGTTGGCGAAGCGACACCTCGTCCGCTCCAAGAGTCTCAATTTGGCCCTGGGTGCTATTAACCTTACTATCAGGAGCTACGACGCTTATTCTTCTCTTTATACTATTTTAGCGAGATTCTTGTAATGATTCATTTAAAGAGGGGTTTTAAACTGATCGAGGTACTTTCAATACAGATGATGACTTGTCTTTCATTTGCTGATATTGGAGCAGGACCCGCAAGTTCAGCTATTCACACAAAGCGACTTCGATTTCGTGTAGCCTTGGAGTATGCCTTAATGGAGGTGTAGTGATAAAACATGATTAAGGCGAGTTAGATTGGATAGGAAATCCTACCCCGTAAATGGACGCTCTCTGGGACAAATTTGAGGCAGGTATGTTTATAGTTACGTCGTGTTTTAATGCAGCGTCTGACGAGAACAAAATAACGCAGCTTCTAGTGTCTATCTTCATGGACACGAGGCAGATGAGGTTCGGGGACAGACACAGCTTATAGATGGTTATTGGCTTACTGGTCTCGATATTTTTCATCAGTTGCATTGCCTGGTGAGGCGGCATAGACCTTATTGATAGGGTGCGTCGCTAATTGCTAGTCTAGAATGAGGTGCGGAAAGCATTGTACCCAGACTACTACACACGAGATGGTAGCCAACGTACCCAAAGAATACACATAGGTATGGACGACCACGTTTGCCAAGACGAGCACTCTTCTAAGTTCACACCTTCCTTTCACGTAAATCTAACCATGTTAACGGTCCGTTTTGATCTTCTGTTTAAGAAGCGTTAATAGCCTTGTCAACTAAATAGAGCCTAGTGTTAAATTAATTTGCGAACTAACTGGCAACATGTCTGTTTCGAACGCATCGCTAATGCGTGAATTATTTGACCATTTATTGGGCCAAAGAGTCGTTCTATCAAGCAAAGAAACTAGCAGGAATCGTAAACTTGCTCCAGGAAGATTGCAAAAAAAGCCTTTACATTGCCCCTGATCAGATCACGGGCGACCAGTTTAGCGTGCGTAGTTGCCATTATAGTATTCTTCGCTCACAAGGCCTGTTTCGTGACGTCCTACTGGGTTACAGCGGCATAAACTCGGTCAATGGCGGAGAATGCATCCAGAGCGAGCGCAACAATATACAATCAATGTGTTTCTACGTATATATGTATCGCTGACTCAAGGACCACTAGTTGACTGGCTACCTGACTCTCGGATCCCAGATTTCGACGCAGAGGTCTTCGATCTTAGATTCTTAGAAGCTACCTGAATATCCCTCCTTCTATCCCTGTACGGGACTACTATCCGGTGTCCCCTATAGCCTCGATTACTAATTTCAAGTGATATATAATATAACATTATAAATCAAGCTAAATTATACTAAAAGCAGAATTCGGTTACAAATACCCGGTGAGGTTCCAAGATAGTAGATAGCGTACTTGAAATCTGGGTTTTAGACGCTAGCAGACTATCGATTAGCCGCAGGTAGAAGTCATTCCGCAGCTACCGTCTATAAAACACTAATAGTAGTAGACTTGTCGTATTATCCACTATCTCCGCTACAAGCCTCAGGGCCACATACCCGTGGCTTCGGTTACCTCGGCGGGTTACGCTAAAGACTAGAAGGGGCCTAAAATACTAAGAGGAAAAAAGGTGGATAACTAAATAAATAACTAATACATACCCATGTGTGTGGGATGAGTGAGAGTTGACATAAGTTGACGGCCCCGAGATGCGAATCCACGCCTTGACTGCTCCTAGTCCTAATACCTCGGGACATATAGCTCACCACTACAATGTACGTACTTGCTACAGGCTAAATCTCTGAACTCTAACTACTTGAACGGTTCACTGTTTACGACCGTGACGACCTGCGAATACCCGCACGGTGTTATATGTTTTTCTGCTCCTCCGAAATTTCTTAAATTCACTAAACAAACAGGTCATAAGTAGAATAAACTATGCTGTCTAGCACATACGACCATAGCCGCTAGTAAAGATCACGATCCCGTCAAGCTCTTCTCCGGGGTTTTAATGCTTCTATATATGGAGGAGTATGCCTCTAAAAATAGAGGCTATGGCGTCTGTTTTTGGAGGACTAGGAACCAAGAGTTAGTGTGGGAGGATTACGGTCAGTTGCCGTATTTTACGTCGCTGCGATGGAAAACGGACGGCACCGACACCGGTACGAGACATGTTCTTTAGTATATTACGGCCACCCCCTTCCCGTCACTCTTATTAGAGCCAGCCGTAGAATCTCCAATCACGTCCGGCCCATTAAGAATTCTAGTTCCCATAGTTCCTCCTCCTAGAGGTGCCTAAGTAGGAAAACAGCCAGTTATCTTCATATTTCTCCTACTATAGTAGCTTGCTATCCTTCCCGAATGAGTGGCATGTTATTTGTATACGTCAAGGTTTACCTTATATACAGCGTTAATACGAAAATTTAGAAGTGGTGGGATGGTTGCAATGATAATGCGAGACATTTACTACGCCAAGAAGCTTGTCGGATATAGTGTGTAAGACCACTAATTCCACCAGCTGAATTACGCTCGCTGCCCGGTTCTGTCATTGTGTTCGTGACTATGCCCCGTATTTCGCTACAATGCGGTCTCTATGCTAATGTCGTATCTATCGCCACGCGGCGGCGGCGGCGGCAGCGCTCCTAATAGTGCAGACGGTTTGGACTATTAGTCTAAACTGTTCCGTCACCCAGGGCAATAATGTTATTAAGTGGTTTCAAGTTAATCGAAAGCAAATAATAAGAACATCCAATTAGCCGATATCTATTCTCACAAATTAGAATGCGGTATGAACTGCTTTTACTCTAAAGATATTAAATTGACACATCATCGCGAGTTCAGTCTAGACAAATAGTCTAAAGCGTTTGCGCTATTAGGAGCGCTTAGGCCCACGCCTAAGTACTAGCCTTTAGCTTTGATTTAATCTCTCCCCACATAGTCGACAGTTGTTCTGGATATTGGTTCTCATGCTTTTACTTGTCAGGTGCAGAGATGGAAACTTGTGTAACCGGTACTGCTTCGCTACTACCTATGCATATTCCAGCTTTTGGTATGCAGCTCTAATCGTTCATTGCGGGAACGAGCCCCTCTCCTAGTGGCAATTTTAACGATGTATTGCGTCGCCCTAACTTCACTTGTTCGTTGGGCTGAAGACTAGTGGAGGCATATGTTTGCAGCAGAGCTCGTCCTATTATTGATCCGTAGCTCCGGATAAACGTTTTAATATCCTCTAGCAACCGAGCAAGCTTAGAACTCACACTTGATTCCTGGAGGTAATTAGCAGCTGTAAGGAAATGAAGGGAGTCTTGGTTGTAAGCTTACCTGGGCGATATGCAGAAGTTTTCTGATTGACTACACCCCTTCTAGGAGCTTTCCTAATAGGGATAGGCATTCAAGCCAGTGCAGGAGTTTCTCTCTCAGAAATGTAGATACTACATCATCATTGGCTAGCGCTCTCCTGTAGTCGAGGCTTTCGCTAATCCCGGCGGCAAGGTGGTCGGCCTAGAAGACGGAGGAGTACCGTATTGAAGCCAAAGGGTCTGGCTGCGGGGGTATTATATTTTCTGGTTTGAAGCTATAGTTGAGGTTGTACATATTTTATTTGAGATTTAAGGATATCGGTTCGATCGAGCAAGTAGTGATGTCTGCATGCCCCTGGGGCACCCCAGCCGGCGGAAGCTTAGTTTTGTAATTCT